TATACCAATATTGACATAGTGGACTAGACTTAACAAACTTGTGGAGAAAAGTCTCATTTAGTTTCAATGAAATCTTTTCTAAACAGCATTACATAAAGTGATTTTTCCCATTGGCTATCACTAAAAGAAAAAGGAAGGTAAATAGTAAACTCTAAGATTATATATGACGTCTGCATTTAAAACAAAAGATGCAATTATCATTATTTGATAGAGTGCCACCCCCAAGGCTTCAATGTTTGATAACAGTCAGCACCATGCTTACCTGGTTGTACCGCAACATAGAGCGGGATGAATTGGGATTTCTAGTGTACTAGAATAAAAATGAACAAACATTGGAATAAATCAAACGAAACTAGTCAATAATTTACTATTCAAGCACCATGCTGGCCTGATTCTACCGCAACACTGCAGGAAGGACTGGGATTTCTAGTCGTCTGGAATAAATGAACAAAAAGTGGCAAATAGTTGACAGATTGAAAAGAGCTTAGGATAGAGAAATTTCTCAAAGCAACACACATTGGCTTATCACACGTCTTGCAAATCATGCGTGTTTGCTTTCTTCGAGCTTCGGTGCTGCAAACAATGCAGTTTTTTTCTTAGTTTTGCCTGGATAATGATGTACATCTTCTGACACACAAGTGTGTTGACAACCGATAGTCCTTGGGTCACAGATTTGACAGTGTGCAATTGGTGTGAACACTATTACACACTCTTCTTGCATTCAGAACATTATGTCTAGAAAAGCAATAAATACTCGTTTCCAACACTTCCCCAATCGGTGAGCATATGTACAGTACACACACTGTTGCGATGCGAGATCAGTTCCTTCCATGCTTCTTGTACTCAATGACAGTATTTAGTTTGCTTATGTCGCGATAACCTGTGAGACTGTTTTTACGACGAATCTGGTCATGTAGTTTGTCAAAAATGTCACTCGCTTTTTATCCTACCACACAGCACACAGTTGTCCTGGGTACGGTACGAGTTAACTTGGGTGCATATATTGGGGTAAGAGTTAACCCGGGTACGAGTTGACCCGTTTCGACTTACAGCTTCTTGGTTGTTGGTCAGATGGCAGAATTTGACAACTGCCATAAACTTGTTACGAGACTGGTTGTCGGATAGATGGCACTGTGTACAATGTCCCAGTTGCTCCTGTACATGTTGCAGTGAGGCCGCTTGTTGATACCCATACACACTAGTAGTGCTACAAAGGTCATCATTTCTGGAATAGTTGTTGGAAACCAACGACTTGGGTGGCCTGCACTCTCTACTCAGCATAACAATTGGTTTCAACACAGACCATTTACCCAGGGATGTGCAACCGCTAGCGGCCCGAGTGCAAACACGTGCGACCTTGGTTCCATGCGTGTTTATACGGATTGTTATTGCCCTACAGGCGCTCTCGACTTTCTCGAAAACACGACTACATGACACGCGTCACGGTTGCAGCATGTACAGTGCAGTTGTGGTTATGCCGAGACAAAACGCCGACACTGTGCTTAAATCTATTTATTTGGACGAAGAAATCTTCTTTTTTTATCGATTTCAAGCAGTTTTAATGAGGTAAAATTCCCCACTGTTGTTGTACACTTTTCTCAGAATGTATAGGATGAAATATCTTGAGCAACATATTGTTACAAAAGGGTGTACCCTGACTTAAAATATTGTTGCGTTCCCTAAATATCAAGTCGATGGTAGCATGGACTTTATTAGTGTCTACGGGATGTGATATTTGGGGTCAACAATTTGTTAAAAGGTGGACGTGAAACAAGGGGTTTGGGTGACAATCAAACTGTATTGCTGGTTTATTGCTCTCACTTCTCTTCATCAAAGTTCAATGTGGATTTGAAGAAGGAGTAGCTTAACATAACACAACACACAAAAAGCAAAGTTATAGAGAGGCGAAGTTGTATACGATTGTAACTAAACTACGGTTTGGCAGGACCATTGGAAATGCAAGTTTGTGAGAGTGGGTACTGTACGTGTGTGTAGTGTCGCACAACTAGGCTACACTCATCAGGCCAGGCCGTGATGGGAGCTGTCCGGGCACATTAGCGTCAGTTAGTCGTGACGGTGTGCATTTAACTAAGAACTACTACCACACCGTCTTCGTGTGTGCATTGAACGGGATAACTAAGTAACACTGTACAGCTCACAACTCAGATTATGGTGATATATATATATAGGTGGCGTTGAAAGGTTTATCTAGCAATCATAGTTGTTAATTAACGATGCTAAAATAAAATACCACCTGACCGAACAAAGGTAGATAAAACAAACCTGATGCACTGTTGTTTTGACGCCTACAGTTTACCCATAGAACACGCTAGAGACACTTCGTGAGAAAAGTGGTCAAGATGGGTGCTCAGCACAGCACAGGTTGTGGTAACCCGGGTTGGCATGCCGTCCTCTGTGTCCACGTCAGCTGGATGTTTTGGACAGGACTCCTCAAAGGTCTAGGGGTGCTGCTGCCGACTCTTCAACAGCAATTCATGGCAGACGCCGGGATGATTGGTGGGCTGATAGCGACAGCTACTGCCGTTGGCAGTTTGGCAGGTAGAAATACGCTTTAGTAAAGGCCTTTTTACATACATTTCTTTTACACACGTTATTAAAAATGTCTGAAGTAAAGATCGAACTGCTGAGTGTTAAATCTTACTTGGCATTCAGAAGACTTTAGTCATCTCAAAAGACCTGGAACAGCTTTGGTCAAGGCGTTCGTCATTTGTCGCAGCGCAGCGAGCATCTGCCGCTCGAAATCAAGGCGATGAGCGACCTCACGCAGTATACGAAATGTGCAAATCAGCTGAACCAGGACGAACGCCTTGGTGCATAGCGCATAGCGCCAGTCATAAAAAAATCAGTCATAATCAGCAAGGCACAGCAAAGGCGAACTCGATTTCCGATTACTCTAATCAGCTGGCAAAAAAAATATTGGTGACTTGTCATACATAGCCACGTGTGCTTTCAGTTAATCTTTCACCGTACGACAGTCTTGAATTATGCTGTTACTATGTAGCAATGAACCAATTCAAACGCATCCGCTCTTGCTATTAGCAAAGTGAGCACCGTTCAATAAGCCATTTGCGAGTTACATTTAAATAAAATCTGGTACACTGAGTTATCTGACTACACATAAATGTAACGATTTGAATTCCCCAGACTAAAGACACTGTTGCTATACCTCATGAATTAGGGCAAGCTTTCTCATAGTGACGACCATCTCTGGAATGGACTGGTTCCTTTGTCCCCTTCGTATCTGTGAGAAGAGTGTTTTGTTTCAAGGCGCCTCTTGTGTAACTGTATAAACAAAAGCTTGGCCCGAGTCACGAGGTATATCAACAGTGGTTTATTAAAGAGAATTCGAGTTGTTATGTTCACGTGAATGTAGAGAACTCAGTGTACCGATGCCAGATGTGGGTCAAAGTTAAGTCCCAAAAGGCTGATATAGCTTCCGCGGATGGTTGCACAAAGGCGTTCGTCCTGGTTCAACTGACTTGCATATTTCTTAGCCTTGATTTCGAGCGGCAGGTGCGCGCTGCCGTGCGCTGCACTGCGACGAACGATGAACGCCTTGACCAAGGCTAGGCATGGATTGAATCCTTTGATGGAAAGACATTGGTCAAATAGCTTTTTCCATTCGGTATCGTATCATTCCATTCCACATCATTCGGTATTGAATCATTTACATTGCAACCTGCGGGAAAAGTTACCATGCAGAATGCACAACCCTACCTCGAGGATATGCTCCAGTAGTGAAGGGTGAAGGTATTTTTGAAGCTTGAAACTTCCTCTATCTTACAGTTTACTGGCTGGCTGGCTGGCTTTCTTCAAGTACAAAATCAAGAAACAAATAGTTTACAAATTCTAAAAACTATGTTATATAAACATCAACATCCAAAAACATGTTAATCTCTTCTCTATACTTGCTCAACATTTTGACATCAACGGCGCAAACTCCGCATTTTAAGGCAAAGGTTTTCAGCAACAAAGGATTGCACTTTCACATTGTAAATTCTAAAAAAAATTTACACCAGGAGGATTACGGGATAAAGTAATTATTCCTTGTTTAGAAGTGCATTTCACTATGCCCATCGGTGTGCTCAGTCGGGAGTGACGTCTTCTACTTTCAGACACTGTGTGTAATTGATTTAAAGTAGACATGGACTCAGATTTAAGCCGTCTGCCTCTGGGACCAAACTATGGGGTTGCAGCCTCATCGCTAACAATAAAATGAATACTCCCGACAAGTGCGGTTCTTATTCAGCCAATGACGGTTTGTTTCTGCTCAAGGCGGATAAATTGCTCTACGTGTGATGATTAATGACCCCCTTTATGGTGAACTTAAACCGTTGAACTGGACCAGGATGGTAAATTTGAAATTAAACCGCATGGTGTGAGGTGAATGTAATGAGCTCAGCTGGACCAACAGAGGGAGTGATTTTCCTAGCAAGCGGCTCCATTGGTCAGAGCTGCACTTTGCTAACTCACGAAAGACATAGAGCGTGTTCGTAACGAGTGAATTTGGCTTAGACTGCGTTTAAAACCACACGTTCAACCTCTAACTGGAACGAAACTGATGTCTTAAGCTGAATCCACTTGCTTAGAAAACGCTCTACGAAATGCATACGGTACGCTCGCTCTGTTACCAGCAAAATGAACGCTCGTCACCCAAATAGCCCCTTTCAACTGAACGGTGCGATGAATTTGCCAGGAAAAATACAGGGAGGGACCTCATTTTGCACGTGTAGTTGCCACATGATGAACCAGGCAACGTTATGTTGTCATAGAATCTTCCACAGCCTACTTGCCCGTATGGGCGAAAACGTGTTATTGGATCTGCTCGTGTTACGACTCAGTTGTACCTCACAAGACGTTGAACAAATGAACCTTTTGAAGGAAATAGAGGGGAAAAATCGAAAAACAACCATAGGAGTGATCTTCTGCAAACTTGGGCGCTCATACAAATCGTAGAAAAAGATGATAAAGGTCTATGCATGTATATTGTTATCAAATCCTTTCAAGGACCCCTGTCCAAGCCATTGGAGGCGCTGTTTGGTACCCGCATCGTGGTCATAGTCTGCGGATTCCTCTTAGGGGCGTCTGTTATCGCCTCGTCCTTCTTGACCAGCGCTATCCAGATGACACTTGTCCTATCCTTATTCGCTGGTAAGTGTTTCGGTTTTTTGTACCGACTAATGAGCAAGCTCATTATTTTTTATCACTTGCTCATTTTAGCCTTGTCTCTTGCGTATTGACGAGCAGTGGTTTCGACTTTCTCTAGCTTGGTCATATGCAGCAAGGTATGCTTGCTTTGTGTTGGTCATTGTCTTGCAGGAATTTGGTGAATTCCTTTCAGACATC